AATGTTGTCCTGAGGGTAAGAAACCCCGGATTTCACATCGTTGTACTATATTGAGGTGACACACACGCTAGATGACGAGCGTGGGGTCATGTACCTTTAGGGATTGTGACTTAGTCCATCCCAAATGACTGTTTTACCGCGTATTTGATTGAAAACTGTTTGCTATCATCATGTTTTGGGCTGCATGCCATATTTGGGCCTCGTGCCAACTATTTGGACCCTTAGGGGATTTTTACTGCTATTTCCTTACTATTTTGATTTTATATCTGTACTCAATCATGCTATATTATACTATTTTCATAACTCAGCCATGTTTACTCTGTTTTTAACACTTTAAATGATATTTTAGACTGAGCATCATATTTTACTGTGCTCAAGTGGCTTTTAGAAATTCCTGACTGAGTAGGGCCGATGGCCTGTGTTGTGAGGATTATTATGGAATCGGGTTGCACGCCACAGCAGTGTTGTACTGATTATGATTATGAGGCCGAGATACTGAGTTGTACGCCACAAGGTGGCTCGATATAAGGTTGAGAGCCTATTGATTATACCACGAGATGGCTTGATATTGCGCTTGGGCCGTAAGGGGTCCCTTCCGGAGTCTGTACACCCCCAGTGAGCGCGGATACCCATTGTGATATGAGATATAGCCCGAGGGGCTGGTGTTGTTCCATGTTATTGCCCGNCGCATCGTTTCCCGTGCCCTTTCCATTTTTAAAATGGCAGCGTTTGGCTTTCCCGCTTAGGGTACTTATACCCCTATAAATAGGGAAAAAACTTTCATTTGAATGGTGTGCTTCCTAATCGCTCAAGAAAGATTTTCGCAGCTTTTCTTCTTCTCCTTCAGTTTCTNAGTTCATATTGTGCCCGAGGGGAGAATTTTATATGTTTATCTTTTCTAGCTGCTTTTCATTTACTTGTTTAATTGTTGAAAGGTATTTTAAAGAAGCTTATTCTGAACCAAGGGTTTTTATAAGATTGCACTGTTTTGTTGCGTTTATTTGGTTTTACTCTGCTTCTTTATAGCATGTTGTTGTGCTTTTACGTGATTTCTTATCGCTCAGTCTTCATTTATCGTTATTACTTACTGAGTTGGAGTACTCACTTTACTCCCTGCACCCTGTATGCAGATTCAGGAGCTTCAGATCCCGCTAGTGAGGTTTGATTGCTCAGCAGGCTATTCGGAGTCCACTAGGTAGTTGTTCGGCGTTCGCAGCCCAGTGTTTCTCCCTCCTATTTTATTTCCCTTGTCCTAGTTATGTAATAGATTGTATAAACTCTTTTATACTCTTAGACTTATGTTAGATGCTCATGACTGGTGACACCCCGATTTCAGACTGTGTTTATTCCGCAAATTGTATTGTTTCACTGTTTTCTTTGGGATTTAATCATGTTAATGACTTAAATTGTGTAATTTTAATTGCTTAAAATGAATTGGGTGTTGTGTCGGTTGGCCTTGTCTTCACGAGAGGTGCCATCATGACCGGGTCTGGGTTTAGGGTCCTGACAGTAACGGTCATAGCAAGGCGATGATTATTGTTCATTAGCTCGTTTTAGATGGGCGAAAAAATTTTTAGGCGATCCTGGTCCGATCGTCGGGGGCCATGCAGATGGTGTGGGCTATAGCATAAAAAAATCTGGGAATCGGGCGAAATTCCAGTTTTATGGCCATAAACGCTGAAAAAATGAGAAACAGTTATGGAGAGGCGATGCCTATTGTTCCTTAGGACGTTTTTGATGGGCTGAAATATTTTTAGGAGATACAGCTCCGGGCGCTGAGGCCCATACAGATGGCGTGGGCTATAACACACAAAAATCAGGAAATCAAGCGGAATTTCAGTTTTATGGCCCTAAAACGCTAAAATATGAGTAACGGTCGTGGAAAGGCGATGAGTATTGTTCCTTAGGTTGTTTTTGATAAGCCAACAATATTTTAGGCGATCCTGATCTAGTCGCCCAGGCCCATACAAATGGTGTGGGCTATAGCATACGAAAATTTGAGAATCAGGCAGAATTTCAATTTTATGGCCCTAAAACGCCAAGAAACAAGGACCAGTCATGGCGAGGCGATAAATGTTGTTCCTTAGGTCGTCTTTTATGTGCTAGACAAATTTTAGGCAATCCAAGTCCAATCGTCCAAGCTCATGTAGATGGTGTGGGATATGGCACACGAAAATCTGGGAATCGGGCGAAATTCTAATTTTGTAGCCCTCAAATACCAAAACGCGAGTAACAGTCATGGCGAGGCGGTGAATATTGTTCCTGGGCCATTTTTAATTAGCCGACAAAATTTTAGGTGATCCGTGTACGGTCGCCCAGGTCCATGCAGATGGCGTGGGCTATGTCATATGAAAATCTGGAAATCGGGCGGAATTCTAGTTTTATGGCCCTATATTGCCGAAAAATGTGGAACAATCTTGGCGAGGTGATGACTATTGTTCCTTAGGTAATTTTTGATGGGCCGGCAAAAATTTAGGCGATCCAAGTCTGATTGTCCGGTTCCACATAGTTGGCATGTGCTATATAGAAAATCGAAGAATCGGGCGAAATTTATGTTTTATGGCCCTAAAATGCATAAAAATGAAGAACGGTCATGGCAAGGCGATGACTACTGTTCCTAATATCGTTTTTAATGGGCCATCATAATTTTAAGCGATCCGGGTCCGGTCCCTCGTTTTGATACCCAATTTTTTCCTCATATTTTTTAATTGTATATATATACTTTCAAAATAGTATATTTGCATCATCATTTACTTTATAAACATATACAAGCATTTTACATAATTTTCCATGATTTTTGGAAGCCCTAAATTAATTTCTTTCTGTCTTTTATTGTATAAATATTCAATAATTATCCTTCAAATTATTTTTATGATCCAAACTTATTATTTACACCAACATGCATGTTTTTAAATATTTAATTTATTTTTTTATAATTACATTTGCATTTTTAGGCTAATTGCACATTTTTGCAAATAATAGCCTATATACAAGAATAATTACATTATTTATGCCAAAATAATTTCTTATATTTTTACAATGTCAAGTTATTATTTTTAATTATTTTAGTGCACAAANCTTCTACTACTATATAAACCCTTCCCCATTCCCCTTTAAGACAAACTGAAATCTTTAAGAGATTTGCTAAAAAAACTGAGGTTACTGCTTTTTGTTCTCTAAATACTCTTGTTCTATATTCTAGTTCTTGGCCGGCTGGAAGCTAATGCCAGAAATTCTGGGTTCTTGCTCTTCGTTGATATTCATAATACTGTGGACTTTGTTCTTTCTTGTTTTTTCGCTTAACTGGTGAGTTGCTGGACTTTTGTCACTTCATTCCTATTTACGTGTCATTTGTATATGTTTTCACTTCTGGAGATTGTAGTTTAATGTGTTTTCTAGTTGTTCATGTGTGCAATTCTATTTGCTTTACTTCAATTTTAGGTCTCTTTAACCTTTGACTTCATTATGTTGGTAATCTGAAACATTCTTAAACCTAAAAAAAATGAGTAGTGTTCATAGCAAGGCTATGACTATTGTTTCTTAGATCATTTTTAGTGGGTCGGCTAAATTTTAGGCGATTCCGATTTGGTGGCCCGGGACCATGCATAAGGCATGAGTTATAGTAGATGAAAATCTGGGGTTTAGGCGGAATTCTAATTTTATGGCCTTAAAGCGCCAAAAAACGAGTGACGAATGGGGCAATGCGGTAAATATTGTTCCTTAAAATGTTTTTGTTGGGCCGGCAAAATTTTAGGTGATCCGGTTACGTTGTCCGGGCCCATGTAGAAGACGTAGGCCATAGCACACGAAAATCCACCGGACCCATACCGAAGGCGTGAGCTATAGCACACGAAAATCTAGGAGTCGGGCCAATTCAAGTTTTATGACCCTAAAACGCAAAAAAAAATAAGTAATGGTCATGGTGAGGCGGTGACTTTTGTTCCTTAGGACGTTTTTGATAGGCCAACAATATTTTAGGCAAACGGGTCCTGCGGCTTGGGCCCATGCCGAAGGCGTAGGCTATAACATACGAAAATCTGAGAATCAGACAGCAGAATTCCAATTTTATAGCCTTAAAATGCTAGAAAATGAGTAACGTCCATGGCGAGACAATGACTATTATTCCTTAGGACAATTTTGATGGGCCTGCAAAATTTTAAGCAATTTAGATATGGTGGGTGGGCTATAATAGCACCCAAACATCTGGGAAAGAATGCTAGTTTTATGGTCCTAAAATGCCAAAAACTGAGTAACGATTATGGTGAGGGAATGACTATTATTCCTTAGGTCATTTTTGATGGGCCGACATATATTTTAGGATATCCGGGTCCAGTGGACCGGGACCCATACAGAAAGCGTAGGCAATAAGCACACGAATGTTACACCCCGTAAGTTTAACAATATTGACATCGTTATATATATTTGATATGGTATTTTAGAGTGAAACTTTTTTTTTGTAAAGAAAACGAAATATAGTTTGAAAAATATGATTTTATATAGTTATTAATATTACTACTTTCGAATATGTTTTAAATTATACACATACTATGAGAAAGTTTATGAGATTTTCTTTATTATAAAGATATGAATTATTTTTTTTCACAAGAAAAGAAGGTTATCTTTTTACCATTTTAAGAATTAAGCATACGAAAATTTGTACTTTTTTTATGAGATTAGGAAAATTATAAGTTGAGAAAATATATGTACTTTTACATGGATATTATAATGAAATAATAGTGTATATATTTATTTTATATGGTACCATAAATTATTAAATAGTAGTATTTTATGTAAGTCGAGAAAATTCTTAATTTTACGAGTAATTGGTTAATTATCGGGTAACGAGACATTACCTAATTAACTAATAAGTTTGGATAATGATTAAAAATCCCCTCCACGTGGCAATAAATAGAGTAACACTTGAATGACTTTCCTTTAGATAAGCCAACTAGTAGGCACATGGACAAATCTTAAGCCATTTTTTTACACGTAAGAAATGATTCTGGCCATTCTAAACACGAAGCCTAAAGCCATTCTCTCTCGATTTCAACTCCCAAAAACTCAAATTTCAATCTTTTTATACCCAGATTCACATGTCACTTTACTGAGATAAAGAAAGGGCAAATGGACGTAAATTTCATGTGTTTATGAGGTATTTGTAGCATGCACTGCTTGACTTTACGTGAGATTTGGGACTGAGGAGCTGTAACGAGAACTGGGTTTCAAATTCGAAGAATTCTAATTAAGTGTGAAGAGATGATAATTAACTAAAGAGAATGAGAAATATGGTGAATGGGCTATTACCCATGTTTTGCACGATGTCACTGCTGTGGTATGTATTCATAGTAATTTAAGCTGTGTTTAATTGCACAAAATATTTGCTAACATCTGTATGAGTTACAAAATTGAACTTTATAGAAAATTTTGCTAACATTTAAATGGAAAAATTAGGCTAGTGTTGGCTATGGTTTGCGGTATCAACCAGAAACACTGTTTTATATCATGTACTTATGACTATACTCCGTGAGTAGGAGAAACAAGGCATTAAGTAAAATATTTGTAAAATATTTGTTATCTCTTTAGATGAAAGAGTTAAAGAATGTAAATAGAGTTATCTAAGAATATCACTCATTGATACATAAGTGACATGAAAACATAAATAAGGATTGTTAGTGGATTATTGATGTTTTGTTATATGTTTTTTTCAAGTCGATTCTTCATGTGCCATGGGACATAACATATTTCATATGCGCACTAATTAAATCTTTTGTTTTTCCTTAAACTAGTTAGTATTCGTAGCACTATTTGAAGGACACTTCAAATACAATATATTTGAGCTTAAACGAGATGATTCTTGTCCTGCTCAGGTATGTTAAGGTTATTCTTTCTTTCCTTTTTGGCATGATCCATATGATACAATGAGACGAGCACGCACACAAGTTTCAGAAATGATTCTATTCTTAGAAGTATTAAGGTTGCCTATGTTCCTGATTTCCCATATGTCCTACTACCATATTGTCTGTTCATGGGTCTCATAACATTCCAAGAGACCATATTGACTTACTTCATTATATATTGCATGCATTTATATATGTGCATTTACTCATGATCAGACGGCGTTATATATGTGTATATATATGTATATATATGTATATGGAATACGGGAAAGGTTATGGCGTTATATACGCACCACCACCTGATCAGCCGGTATACATTGATAATTTTGCCCATAATGGCTGAGATGATATGATGGGATGCCCTCAGAGGCTTGATGATGTTATGAACACATGTACCTATGCACGACATGGCATTCATATGCATATGCATGACACTATAAGTATTAAATGATATATAGAGTTATCCAAACTTACAGGTTGAGTCATGTACTCCATGTTTCTTTCATGTCCTTTATATATTGATTGACATGCCTTACATACTCGGCACATTATTTGTACTGACATCCTTTTGTTGTGGACGTTGCATTCATGCCTACAGGTATAAGTAATCAATTTGATGAACCCTCATAGTAGACGAGGTTAGCATTCAGCGAAGGATCGGTAAGACTCCACCTCATTTAGAGTGCAGTCGCGTCTATGAGCCATCATGTCAGAGTTTTGCTTTAGACTTATAGGTAGGTCGATACCCTGTCCCATTTGATGTTAAATAATCTTAGAGGCTTTGTAGACAGAAGTTCATTTTGTACAGTATGTCACAGGCCTTGACGGCCCATATGTATTTATGTTTTAAGAAAAATGGTTCAGTGATACAGTGTTTTCCACTTATAGTTATTAATTATGAGTTGTGAACATGTTGGCCCATGATAGTTACAGAAGAAAAACAAATAAGTTACGGAGTGGTTCGCTCGGGCCAGTGCGGCACTAGGTGCCATCCACGCCTCCCCAGGTTCGGGGCATGACAACAAAAATATAGAATCGGGCGGAATTCTAAATTTATAACCTCAAAATGCCAAAAAAATGAGTAACATTCATAGCAAGGCGGTGACTATTGTCCCTTAAGACATTTTTGGTGGGACGGAAAACTTTAGGCGATCCGAGTCTTGTGGCTCGGTCCCATGTAGAAGGCGTGGGCTATAGCACATGAAAATCTAGGAATCGGTTGGAATTCCAGTTTTATGGCCCTAAAACGCTAAAAAACGAGTAACATTCATGGCAAGGCGGTGACTATTGTTCCTTAGGTCATTTTTTTGGGTTGAAAAACTTTAGGCGATCCGGGTCTAATAGCCCGAACCCATGCAAAAGGTGTTGGCTATAGCATACAAAAATCTAGGAATCGGGTGAAATTCTAGTTTTATGGCCCTAAAACAAGGCGGTGCCTATTGTTCCTTACATCATTTTTGATGGATTCGCAAAATTTTATGCAATTCAGGTCCGGTGTCCCGGGCCCATGTAGAAGGTATAGGCTATAGCATATGAAAATCTAGAAATCGGACGAAATTCCAATTTTATGGCCCTAAAACGCCAAAAATCGAGTAACGCTTATGGCGAGGGGATGAATATTGTTCCTGAGGTTATTTTTTATTGGCCAACAAAATTTTAGGCGATCCGGATCCGATGTCCTGGGCCTATGCAGAAGACGTGGGCTAAAGACACACAAACATCTGAGAATCGGGCAAAATTTCAATTTTATGGCCCTCAAATGCCAAAAAATTAGTAATGGTCAAGGCGAAGTGGTAACTATTATTCCTTAGGTTGTTTTTGATGGGCCGACAAAATATTAGGAAATTCGGGTCCGGTGGTCTAGGCCATGCAAAAGGCGTGAGATATAGCACACGAAAATCTAGGAACCAGGCGGAATTCCAGTTTTATGGCACAAAAACGCCAAAAAATGAGTAACGTTATGGCGAGGCGGTGACTGTTGTTCCTTAGGTTTTTTTTTATGAGTCA